CTTTCGCTAGTGTGCAATGTTCATCACAAGAGACTCAATTCGATACTTGGCTAGCCACAACGAGATGCAAAGAGTTCACATATTGATTATGCAACTTCAATTGGCCTCGTCATAGCCGCGTATTCATTTTATTGTTTGATTATGAGCACTATTCGAGTCATCGGTATTGATCAAAATCGGTACTCAAATTTGCATGAGAACAACCACATTCAACACATACAAGAGGTGGCAAATTTTTTTCGGAAGGGTAAAAAATCATTTACAATTTAAAATGAGGAGCCACACGCTCAAACATCGGCAAAAGAAGTGTATAACACCATTTATACTCAAAGCCCAATATATAAACAAAACTAATATGCACAAAGGTGGGCCTCAACCCACCACAAACAAAAATCATTTGTCCTCAAATGCAAACGAAAAAATCCGAAAGTAAAATAAAGTAAGACAGAGAGGGAGGTAAAGAAGGGATCCTGTCTACGTAGTCGCTCCATCAGTCTGGGCATTAGTGCCCGGTACATCGTCTGGTCTCGGGTCTCAGTACCTGTAGTCACCTCAGCATGAACAATAATAGTACTAGGAGCAGCCAAGGAAGTCTCGGTAAGTGATGTCTGGATTACCGATTGCATCTTGTCCCTGCAAGATCCGGCAAGTCTCCATATATGCTTTCCTCCTGTATCTGTATCTGCTCCTCGTCGGTCTCAGCATCTGACTCACTCACTATGGTCTTATCACGATGTACATCGCCGGTGGTAGCCCGAGGAATCTCAGGAGCATTTACATCATCAACAGCCTTCAGTAATGAAGTGAGGTTGGTAAACTTCAGATAGTCTACGTCCTTCCTCAAGTCTGCCACCTTGGCTTGCAAAGTCGTAACCTCAGGGGCCTTCCCATGTCTGCTCTCACAAGGTGTGACTCTCACAGCCAACTCATCAACAAAAGTCTGGAGGGGGTAAGTGCAGCAAGGATGGCACTCTCGATCATTCCTGGGATGGATCTCTCAAGTCGGGTCTCCCTCACATCAAGTGGATGGGCTAAGTACCCCATCTTCAGGATCATGGCATGAGTGATCTTGGTAGGATGGGAGGAGGAGGAAACACCTGGGGTCTGTGAAGAGGAGGAAGGGGCAGATGTACCTGAAGGCCTAGAGGCCGGAGTAGCAAAGATGCGTCTGCAGGTAACGAGTCAACATCAACTTCCGGAGAAGTATCTACCGGAACTGCTCTCCTCCTGTCAGCCTCTTCACATGTGTACTCGACCTCAATACGCCGGATGTCAGTGGAGGAAGAAGGGGTAACCTCAATATCTCTTGCATCATCCCTGGGTACTCTAACATACCGGCACAACTCACTGATCAGGACCGGGAATGGCAGAGAAGTCTGTCTCTGCTTGGCTCTCATGGCCATCTCCTTCAAAATAAGAAGGCCCAGGTCAATGCTCCTCCGTGACATGATAGATCCAAGGCATGCTACCTTAGGATGGCGCATAATAGACTCGTTATGGGATGGCATTATAGTGCTACTGATAAAGCCAAACTAGAAACGAGTAGCAATGCTCAAGTCCCTCTTCTCTATGGGAGACTACTGCCTCTATCCACCTCAGGGTGGTGTCAGAAATCAGTGGGGCCAACCAGCCCTTCAAGTCATCTAAAGACTGAGCCATAGGTAAACCATCATAAGGACATGTAGAGTACATCGTTCTCTCCAATACAATGTTAATATACTCACTGCTGCACCCAACTTCCTTACCTCTGACCATGACCAACTTCACTGGTCTGAACTCGCTGGCCTTTTTCTTACTCTTTGGCACCCACTCCCCATAGGCTATATTGAAGTCCCGAACCCATGAAGGAACATAAGGGCCTCTGGGCCTGGTAAACTGATTAAACCTATGGTAGTTGAGAGTGTCTAGCACATCTGAGTATTTACCCTCCAGGCCCTAAGTAAATAATAACTTCTCCTCGAGGATGGTGCACAAACCATCTACTTTCAACCTGTTGAGGAGTCTAGGTGCAGGAATGACTGGTGGCACGGGAGCGATAGGAGGTGACGGGGTTGGCAGTGATTCTGTTGGTGTGGATGCATGAGGAACTTTGGTGGACGTGCGGTGAGATCTAGCCCGGAGCTCATTCTTTCGGGACAACAAAGGCTGCTCGTCCTTAGGCTCAGACAAATCAGCCCGGGTGTCAACAACCACTCTCTCAAATATGTGCTTTTTTCTTTTGCCTTTGTCTCCCAATGGGAGCCTTGCCTTCCCTTCTGTGGAGGATTTGATCTCCCTTCATTTATAATAATGCCCCGTGCTCTTTTTTGGGGTTGCCTATCTAGATTTGTTCATACCATATCTGCAAAACATCAGAGAAAAGTTAGTAAATATTCACATCAAAGCACAAAAAATGAATTGCAGACAGACTTGCCGATCCAGTCGGCGAGAAAGGGCTAGCCCACCGAAAGTTCCAGTACAAAAAGGGTTCAGAGGTGTAGACAAAGGGCGATCAAGAATAGCTTTGGTGAGTCGTCGAGTGCTTTCGGTGACCTCAGGCTTCTCGCCGAAAGTTACAGAATGCAACTACTCATTTAGCATGAAATTAAAGGCGAGATGGGGACCTTTGGTGAACCCCCGAGTAGTTCGGTGAGCTTGACCCAGCTCGCCAAATGACCCAACGTGCCTACTTTCAACCCAACTTCTCATATTCAACCTCGCAACCCTTGAAAACAAAATCAAAGCATGCACTAGTTAAATTAAGCTCATACCCATAACACCTATCACCCCTGGATATTCAGACTTCTCCTGGTTTTGCAAAATTTAGCCATTTGACGACTTCTGCCCTTAAGAATGGTGTCACCCACTCTATCATTGTGCAATTTACGTCATTTAGCACAAATACGGGTTACTCAGACTCTACCCAACCATACTAAACTACATGCAATCACAACCCCACAAAATTTAACTCATTTTAAGGCATAAATTTACGGCATTCGACGATCAAAACAATACGGGCAAGATTATCAAATTAAAATAGGCATTCACACATTCTAATCCTATCAGAGAGGCCCAGCACACATCACTAAGATAAGATCATTGCAAATGAGTCCAAATTCAATAAAATAAACTTGGGGTTTTGAAAACCAACCTTTTATGCCGATTAAAGTACTTTGAAATGCTAGGCGGCAATGTAATCCAAAGTCCGAGCACCAATCAACAACCAAAATACTTATGGAATGCAAAAATATTGAAAATACTAACTAGTTACGAGTTTGCGAAGTTTGAAAGCTAGGGAATGTGAAGATTTTGAATCTTTGAAACCATTGGCCTTTAAAACCGTCCAGTTCTCGCCCATTCGGCGACGTTAGTCGTGCTCACCGAACCACTCGGCGACACGCTGAGTGTTCACTTACCTCGCGAGTTTTGCAAGACCTCCAGTTAATGTGGGGGTCCAAACGACGGTTTACGTCGGGATCGCCGACTTGGTCAGCGACTCACCAATAATTTCCTGGGCTCGCCGAGTTTTACAGACTCCATTTTGAATATGTATTGAGTCAAACAGTGGATTAGGTTAGGCCCGCCAACCTCTTTGGTGATGCGCCGTCTGGAACTTTTAGCTCGCCAACCTTCAATTTTCAAACACTTTCCACACTTTAACCTATGCAATCAACACATCATTATTTTTAAAACAGAAGTAAAGCAATAAAAGGGTCTTGGGTTGCCTCCCAAGAAGCGCCTTAATTAACGTCGTGGCACGACACAAGTCAACCCTTAAACTCCACTTTTTGGGGTTAGCCATAAAATCACTTGGCAACCCCCTGTTTTGCTGTGTGTAGAGCTGAGGCATCACATGACTCATGAGGTTTTCAATTAGCTTGGTAGATCTAGAGTGAGATCCAATCATCTGATTTTGCAATTCAACGTTTTCCCTCATTTCCTCTAGCACTTTATCTTGCTCGTTGAGCTTTTGGAGAATGATTAATAACGTATCCTTGATACGTCTGCTCTCGTTGTCTATAGATTTTCTTCTCTCATGAGGAGGTATGTATATGCCCTTCTTGTTGGAGAACACCTCCAGTTCCCCGACCTTTTGGGCCAAGGTATCCATCTGATCCAGCAAAATGACCAAGTGCTGGTCTTTCTCAGTTTCCTTGTTGGTGTTGTCCACAAGATCAAGAAGTTTGGTAGCGGTCTCATAAGTCCATCCGGGATAAGTTGATTGATTAATCCTGTGCTCCCTAAATTAAGACTCTTATAGAAGAATTCCAGTAAAACTAGATCAGGAATTTCATAAGTTAGGCATTGTATCAATAGTGCTTTAAACCTTACCCACGACTCATGAAAAAGCTCCCCTTCTAGCTGCTTGAAGGTAAGGATGTTATCCCTGAACTTCATCACCTCTATCGAAAGGTGATCCATTTGTTCACAATACTCAATTACACTCATTTTTCCTGTTTTCAATACACAAACAAGTAAAGCAAAGCTAAAAATTAAGTAAGTAGAGTTATCACTAATAAGAGCAAAGTTTAACTTAACTAAAAATTCTCAATTAGCACCACTCTCCGGCAGCGGCGCCATTTTTGACTAGACGTATCCGAGTGCTTCATCCAATACTAAGCGTCCACGGTCGTTCAATAGTAATATAACCCCACTTTTTTTATGCAGAAACGTCTAAACATCCTACTCCAGCGGGAGATTCTGATAGAGGCAACCGCAACAATGGTAAGACCTTAAATTTTATTCCTCCTATTCTTAAGGAGGGTGTTCTTACTGTGAAAATTGAGGAGGAGGTTATTTGCATACATATCAAGGAATAGGAAACAACATTAATTGGCTATATAATTGGAGATAACCCATATGAATTGCAAATGCTATAGTTTGTCAAGAAGGTATGGGGTTTTGTTGAACTACCCCAGGTACTTTATCATGATGATGGTTACTATGTTTTTAAATTTTGTAATATAGTTGAAAAGGAGAAAGTGATGTAGGTTGGACCATATTTCTATGGAAACAAACCCATGATTTTGCGGAATTGGGATGTGGATTATGAACTAGATGCTGATATGTTTAGCCAAATCCCAATATGGGTAAAGTTCCCCAGATTACCTGTTAGATACTGGTCTTTTACGACATTGAGCAAGGTTTCCAGTGCTATTGGGATTCCATTGGTTACAAATAGATTCACGGCTAAAGCTGAGAAAATATCTTATGCAAGGGTCATGTTTGAGATGGATATCTCAAAAGTCCTGCCAGATACTATTTTTGTTGAAACCCCCTCTGGGCCTTGGAACCAATCTGTTGAATATGAATGGAGACCCAAATTCATTAATAATTGCATTAAACTAGACACATGGAAAATGAATGCTGGTTTAAACATGCCTCAGATGGGAAAAAAGATACGACTGAATCAGAAGGATTGGACATGAACCAAGGGAAGGGTAAGAAACTAGGGGATAAAAGAAGAAGGATGGTTACTACATGAATACCTATTCAGACTCAGAAAAATGATGCAACCATCAATGATGAACTAACTGAAACTCCAATGGTGGCACAACCTTCTACTGAGCCTGATCCTGGACAAAGAAGTGGGAGGCAACATGTGGAGGACAGTATCAGTATAGAGGGTACAACAACTATTGAAACTGATCTTGGACAAATGAGTGGGAAGCAATATGTAGTGGAGAGCATCTGTTTAGAAAATATAGTAGCAGCTATTGAAATTGATCCTAGGCAATTGAGTGGAAAGAAATATGTGAAAGAATGTTCAGACGGTACACTGAAGAATCAATTACAAAATGGAAGGAAGAGTGCTGGCAACTACATGCCATTTCTTCCCATGTGATCATCTCTACTTGGAATGTTAGAGGCCTTAATCAAGGCCATAAACAAAAGGAGATCAAACTCTTTCTGAATAAATATAGAGTCTATATGTTTGGATGTTTGGAAACAATGGTTAAGGAACATAAAGCACCCCAGATAAGAACGAAAATAACTCATGGATGGCTAAATGCACATAATTATAGTGGTGGTGATAGCAATGGCAGAATCTGGGTATTATGGAGAGATCATTTGAAAGTGCAAATCATTGAGGTGCATGAACAATATATCCACTGCCTAGTGGAAGATCCAGGGGTGGAAATTAGATTTTATGTTACTATTGTTTATGCAAAGAATGAATTGCAGAAGAAAGAGATTTTGTGGCAGGATATTATAAAGATCACATTGCAACAACAACTTCCGTGGGTTGTATGTGGAGACTTTAATTGTGTCTTGAGCTATGAAGATAGATTGGGATCCCTTGTTACACAATAAGAGATACAGGGTTTCAGAATGCAATAGAGCAACTGCAGCTAACAACCATCAGAGCTACTAGGTGGCATTTTACTTGGTGCAACAAACAGGCAAGTGATAAAAGGGTGTATAGTAAAATTGACTGGGCTTTTGGGAATATGCAGTGGATACAACAATTTGGTTATGTAGAAGCTGAATTTTTGAATCCCTCAGTATCTTATCACTCCTCGATATTGATTAAGTGTAGACAGCACCATAACTTTCATCCTAGAGTCTTTAGATTCTATACTAATGTGATGGAACATCCTGAATTTGATGTAATTCTGAATAAGGCTTGGGGTGGGAGTACTAGAGAGTGTACAATGAAAAAGATATGCAGGAAACTTAAGAACTTCAAAGATCAAAGTAAGGGAATGAATGTATATATGGCCTCATATAAATAGATGCTGAATATTTTGAGGGAACAATTAGATATCTTACAAACAAACGTGCAAACAACCACTTGGATCAAAATATCATAGAGCAGGAGAAGAAAATTTTAATAGATATTGAGAAGTAGAGTAATATTGAGGAGCTTAAAATCAGACAAAAAGCTAGGGCAATATGGATAGATCATGGGGACTCCAATACCAAATACTTTCATGCTCAGTGGAAGATTAGAACCAGCCACAATACCATCTCCTCCATTTTTACTGAAGCATGAAACAAGTTGACAGAACCTAAACTAATAGAATATGAGTTTATTTCTGTCTTCAAGGGGTTGATGGGAACTAGAGCATCTGCATTGACATGTTTAAATACTAAGGTGGTTAGAGGTGGAGATTGCATATCTATAACACAACAAAGACACCTTATTAAAGAGGTCACCATAGAAGAAATATTGGAGGCTATTAAAGAGATTCCCAAAGATAAAGCTCTAGTAGTTAATGGATATCCAATTGAATTTTTCACTAAGAACTGGGATGTGGTCTAGAATGATGTTATTGCAGCTGTTAAGCATTTCTTTCATACTGGCAATCTATATCCTGTTATCAATGTCACAGCTGTAACACTGATTCCTAAAGTTCCAATACCTATAAAAGTGAAAGATTACAGGCCTATAGCTTGCTGCACCACTTTGCACAAAATCATTTCTAAAGTTCTTACAAGGAGAATAAAGCTACTGATTTCAGGGTTGGTGAGTAAAGCTCAATCAGCATTTGTTAAAGGAAGAAGTATAGTGGATAACATCATGGTCAGCCATGAAATATTCAAGAGCTATAATAGGAAGGGGACATCCCCTATATGTGTGCTCAAAGTGGACCTAAGAAAGGCTTATGACACTTTGGAATGGGTTTTTTTAGAGAAGTTGCTGAGTGATTTGGGATTCCCTGTTAAATTTGTGCACTGGATTATGACTTATGTGTCGACTGTTTCTTATTCCTTGTTATTGAATGGTGGACTTACTCCCCTTTTTCCAGCACGAAGAGGCATTAGACAAGCATATCTTATGTCCCTTTATCTCTTTGTATTGGATATGGAATACCTGGGAAGAGAACTCAACCAATTGGCTCTAAATAGAGATTTCAACTATCATCCTAGATGTTAAAAACTGAACAACATACACATTTGTTTTGCTGATGATCTGTTGATGTATTGCAGGGCTGACATTGTATCTATCAAATTAATGCATGATGCTTTCATGAAGTTCTCTAAGGCATCTGTATTACAAGCAAATAATGATAAAAGTTCCATTTATATTGTTGGAGTAAGTGATCAAACAAAGCAGGACATTATAGAAGCATTAGGATTCAATGTGGGTACTCTGCCATTTAGGTACCTTGGTGTAGAAATTGAATGTTGATGCTTATTTACCACTCATTGAGAAGATCACATCCAAAATTACTTGCTGGTCTGCCAAGTTATTATCATGGGCGAAAATTGGACGATTTTTAAGGCCAAAAGGATATACTTTTCAAACTTCTTCACTTTCCCTCTCTTTAAAGCTTCGCAAACTCACACCTACACGTTATTCTCTATAATGTTGCATTCTCCAAGTGTTTTAGTCGTCGATCTGTTCTCGGAATTTGGATTACATTGCCGCCTAGCGATTTAATCTTATCGTAATCAGTATTAAAGGTTGGTCTCCCGAACTCCGAATTTGTTTTTGATATTCTCAACTCTTATGCAAATGATCTTATCGTGTTGTCATGTGCTGGATCTCTCTGATAGGATTAAAATGTTTGAATGCCTATTTTAATTTGAAAATATTGCCCATATTGTTTTGAATGTTGAAATCCCGTAATTTGGTGCATTGAAACATATTAAATTTTGTGGGGTTTTCCTTGTATGTTATGGGTCTTATTTGAATTTGAGTTGTGCATGTGTTGATTTTTTTTGTTTTCAGGGGTTGCAAGGTTGAAATCGAGAATTGGATTAAAAATAGGCAAATTGGGTCATTTGGTGAGTTGGGTCGAGCTCGCCGAACCACTCAGCGGTTCGCCTAATTTCCCCATCTCACCTTTAATTTCATGCTTTATTTGATGTTGGTTCTGTAACTTTCGGCGAGAAGCCTGAGGTTGCCGATGGCACTCGGCGACTCGCCGAAAGTCTTCTTGATTGCATGTTGTCTACAACTGATTTTCTGTGCTTTAGTTTGAATACTTTCTAACTTTTTCTCGATGCTTTGTAGGCATGGCTAGATCGAAAGTTGCTGGGAGAAACATGCCACCCCGAAAGGTAAGAGCACAAAATTTCAAGATAAATGAACGGAGGTCAAATCCTCCCAAAAAGGGCAAACAGGGACCTCCACCTAGAGACAAAAGCAAGGGCGAGAGACTCATTTCTGGCAGGGAGACTACTCCCCGAGGCCCATCTATTCCTTCATGGGCCCATGGATTCTATGCAGCTATGCGGAACTTTTGGGTGGATATACCTGTGGCAACTTCTGGTGGGTCTAGTACTACTATTTTTTCTGATCTGACTCCGGGCACTGATGCCCAAGTCCAAACTGATGCACCGGGCCCTGATGCCCAGACAGATGAAGCGACTGCATAGACAGGATCCCTTCTTTACCTCCCTCTCTGTCTTAATTTCTTTTGATTTTTGGATATTATTAGCTTGTTTGCATTTGAGGACAAATGCTTTTATTTGTGGTGGGGTAAGGCCCACCTTTTGTGTGACATTCGTAATTCTTGTTTTGTTTATATATTTGGGCTTTGAGCTAAATTTGCGTTATACACTACTTTTTGTGGATGTTTGATCTTATAGCTCCTTATTTTTAATTATAAATGATTTTTGACCCTTCCAAAAAAAAATTGCCACCTCATGTTTGTATTGAATGAGGCTGTTCTTGTGCAAATTTGAGTATTGATGACTTGAATAGTGCTCATAATCGAACAAAAATGAATGTGCGACTATGATGAGACCAAATGAAGTTGCATAGCCAATATGTGAACTCTTTGCATCTCGTTGTGACTAGCCAAGTATCGAATTGAATCTCTTGTGATGAACATTACACACTGGCAAAAGTGTGGAGTCTTGTTTGACTTTGGTGTCAATGCCTTGTGTGATGAGCTTATCTTGAACCATGTGTGATTACACCTAGAATTTTCCTCATTGGTCCGACTGACTAAGTGATGTGAACTCTTGATATGATCTTAGGAAACTTTAAAGAGTGTGAAACAATTTGATATTATACCTCTTTTTGTGGCCTACCTTGTGAGTGTGTGAACCCCTTTTGAGCACCCATTGAAACATTATGACCTTTGATTGATCCATTACCCATAATCCTCATGATTTGTGATTTGTTTAAATAGCCAACTTAGGCTTTGGCCTAAGTTGGGGGTGTGGTAAAAAGAGAAGGTAAATCAAGACGTGTAAGAAAGTCCCCTTTTACCCATGTTTTGAGAAAAATGGAACCCCTCCATACGAAAAAGAAAGAGAATGAAAAAATTGTGGAATAAGGTTGTGAAAATACAAAAACAAATGGGGTTTCCAGCAGTCCATGGAAAGTGAATAAAGAGATGATTTGTAAGCACAAATAAAAAATGATGAAGAGAAGGAAAGAAAGTGTTGTTCACACCGAGTTTCATGAGGACTATAGCCAATGAGCCTAAATGACCATATCTTTGCACTTAGCCCCATTACAAGCCTT